AATGTTTATGATTCGTATATTAGCATATGTAGTTGCTTTTCTGGTTTTGAGTCATCGCCTCATTAATCTCTTGCTGTTNTTGATGCTTCTGATGATGTTGTACCAGGTCAACCACGGAGACATTTGCTTCAGAGTGGATGGAGCGTGTTTGTTAGCTCCAAGAGGCTGGTTGCAGGCGATGCATTTATATTTTTAAGGTTTGTGGATTTTTATGTTTGTGATATTATTGAGCTGTATCTATTTGTTTCTTTGATGTGAAATATCTAATTTTCTATAGGGGTGAGAATGGAGAATTACGTGTGGGTGTAAGGCGTGCAATGCGACAACAGGGAAATGTGCCGTCTTCTGTTATATCTAGCCATAGCATGCATCTTGGAGTACTCGCCACCGCATGGCACGCCATTTCAACAGGGACTATGTTTATAGTCTACTACAAACCAAGGTTTGTTTTGGTTTCCCTCACAACACAGATTGTAATTTTGAGCTCTTTGCTGTTCAAGTCTCTATATGTCTGATGTCTGACAGCGTTACTTTACTAAATGTTCATGAATTGTGGTTTTGTTTGTGGCAGGACTAGTCCATCTGAGTTTATTGTTCCGTTTGATCAGTACATGGAATCTGTGAAGAATAACTACTCCATAGGCATGCGATTTAAAATGAGATTTGAAGGTGAAGAGGCTCCTGAGCAGAGGTAAAAAAAACGTTTCCTTCTTTTCCAGTAGACCATACACAGTTTTTAGGTACATTGTATCACTGTTTTCAAATATTTATGCGTCGGATCTGATTTCCCGTGGAAGGGCGCGACTCACAGATTGTATTGATTTCTATTAGGTTTACTGGCACAATCGTTGGGATTGAAGACTCTGACCCCACTAGGTGGCCAAAATCAAAGTGGAGATCCCTTAAGGTATGATCTAGTTTCTTGGGAACATCAAGACTGTTGTTAGAAAGAAATAATTCTGAATGTTCATCGTCTTTCAGGTGAGATGGGATGAGACTTCTAGTATTCCTCGACCTGATAGAGTATCTCCATGGAAGATAGAGCCAGCTCTTGCTCCTCCTGCTTTGAGTCCTGTTCCCATGCCTAGGCCTAAGAGGCCCAGATCTAATATAGTTCCTTCATCTCCTGACTCTTCATTGCTCTTAAGAGAAGGTAATCTCCCCCTTCTATTGTAGTAGTGTCATGTAGTAAATTGATTTCGTCAATATTGGGAAACTAATTCATTGTACATGAAGCAGGCTCATCTAAAGCAAACATGGACCCTTTGCCGCCAAGTGGACTTTCAAGGGTCTTGCAAGGTCAAGAATACCCGACCTTGAGAACAAAACATACTGAGAGTGTAGAGTGCGAGGCTCCTGAGAATTCGGTTGTGTGGCAATCCTCAGCGGATGATGACAAGGTTGATGTGGTTTCGGCTTCTAGGAGATTTGGAGGTGAAAACTGGATGTCCTCAGGCAGGCAGGAACCTACTTACACGGATTTACTCTCTGGATTTGGGGCTAACATAGATCCCACACATGGTCATCGGATACCTTTTTATGACCATTCATCTTCACCTTCTGTGCCTGCAAAGAAAATATTGAGCGATCAGGATGGCAAGTTTGATTTTCTTCCTAACCAGTGGCAGATGATGCACTCTGGTCTTTCCCTGAAATTACATGAATCTCCTAATTTACCTGCTGCACCGGATGCCTCTTTTCAAGGGCGAGGCAATGTCAATTACGGTGAATATCCAGTGCTTCATGGTCGGACAACTGAGAATACTGGTGGTAACTGGCCAATACGTCCACGTGTTTTGAATTATTTTGAGGAGATGGTTAAT